GTAATAAATATTTTTGGTCATATCGCCCTGCTCTAATTGAATAGTTCTCATGTATTTTATAATGTATAAATGCTACTTCTTGCAATATATCTCCCTATTTATGTATTTCTAAACAAGTGAAAGTCATCCCAGTTTTTTAATTTAATTCTGTAATTTGTTAATAGCTTTTAAATGTACAGTAGTCCTAGCTTTGCATTTATTCATAGAAAACAATAACTTCCAAAAGAAAAATGAACTGGCCTGAAATAGAACATTAATTAAACAGTAAATACAAGAGCAGAGAGGTAGACAGCAAGTCCGTAACAATAACTATAGAAAAGCATACAAAAATTAGCAAATCCTGAAATCAAAACTACTTTCACCTACTTAACTCACAGCAGGCAGCTCCACATGTTTGATGTGACTTGTGTGCCTACGCACCAACAAAAGCCATAAACAACTACACTTCTTACTAAAACAATTTTTTAAAAAAAGGTAAAAGCAATGTAGATTTAGTTCACATAAAGACGCTAGTTTTAAACAGTCTCGTACCAACTAGTTGTTACAAGAAGCTAGTAAGGAGTTGAAAACAAATCTTTTGATTTATGAATCGCTGTTCCAATCTGATCTGACTGAAATGACATGAAAGAAGAGGATTATTGGCTACTAAAAGAGTGGCAACCAGTGTGTAACAGGAATTATATGTATACAGACATCAGAGAAAACCTTGTATTAGAAGCTGAACTCGGGCCTGGTCCCAAAGAGAGTCCAAGAAGACAGAATGATTAACTTCATTAAACACAAGGTTAAGTCTAAAGGACTAAGACCAGTGATGAGTTTGGCTGATCGTGCTGAACAAATCTGTCTTGAAATTTTTGTTCTGGGTGGAATGAACATTCTCACTTTTGTAATGATCTCTGTCTGCCTGAAATGGTCGTCTGTCTAAAACAGACACAGATTACAGTACGGGACATATTCTTTTGTAAAAATTTGAAACGGGGCAGAAATTATTAAAGTCATCAGGGTCAAGTGTTAGTCGTTTCAGAATGGGTTCAATGGCAGCAAGTTCTTTGTATTACAAAGACACTGAGTCCATTAAAATTGTCCTTCAGGTATCTGATAGGAAGAATATTCCGGGGACAGGATGAAGTTTTCATTTCCTGAATAATTTCAGACAACACTGCAGAGAGGGTGAGCTTATCTAGAGAAAATGAGTGTGACATGCTGGCTGTAATTTGTTTTGAGGGTGAACTGATTTGATGTTTGATATCAGAGGTTCAGTGTGGAGAACTTTGTGCTGGTTTTAGTCACAATATTAAAAAGATTTACTCGTCCCCTTTTTCACAACTTTAACCAGCAGTCGTAACAATGTGTCACTCCACAGTTTCGTTATTGTTCCACTGTAGTTGAATGAAACCATCAATGATGTTACTTTGAAACTATGTTAAAGTCTTTCAAATCTAATCGAATACATGGATAAGGCAGTAATGGAATTTGAAAGCAATAAACTAAGTGGGCATCGGCAGCAAGGAAATCAACAGTGTGGACATGAGTGATAAGCAACTATATTTGCAATGTTTCCCTATCGTACCATTCAGTGCTGTGTAGTTGGAGAAAGAGCATACAACACTATACTGAGCATAAACACAGCCCATTAAACTTTATGGCACCTTTTATGATCACTGCACCAGTTGTAACAGCCATTCAGAGGACAGAGAGCAGCCGGGCCCTATTTAAAACCCCAGTCCAAAGACCAGAGACCCACTACAGTGCTTTAAGGTAACATTTTAATCTTACCTGAAAGCAACAAGCTGAAATTTGATTTGGACCCCGCAAAAGTATAAACAACAAAAATGAACATTGCAATGACTTGACCACATCTCATGAGATCTGAGCCTTAGACTGTATAAAAAAGATGGCCGTAGTCACCATTTTTAGCACCTCGAGTTTTGTATTTTAGCCTTTTAGCTGTTTTGTTTTTCTTGAATTCAAACAATAAAATATCTAGATAAAACTAGGGCATTGATCGACATTGCTAATGCAGGCACTGGATGATTGTTTTCGACAGTAAGGGCTGTAATTTACTTTAATATCAAACCTTATGCATTGAAAACTTCCAAAAAGTATACGCAACGCACCAGCACTACCTTGAGCCTCAATATGAAATTTTAAATGGGTGAGTAGACATCACCTGTACAAAGCTTCTGCTTGGTTACAGGTTTTCTGGATATAATGTTAAATGGAATCCAAGTGATACAGGATTTTTATGAATGATACCAATATTTCTGTCATTATCAGCTGATATTTTTCCTTTCAGACCTACAAAACATAAATAGATGTCCTCAATATTTGTTATGTGTAGTTATTTGGTCCTTTGTGTTCTGCATGATTCTGCTCTGATGAGCTGCTGGTTAAGTCCAAGAAAACTCAACAGCCAGGCAGCACATGGTTGTGGTGTTCCAGACACACAGAAAGGGAATCAATTCTT